TTTTTTTTTTTTTTTTCAAATATCGTCGCTCATGATCGACTAAGTGGTGTCTGTAAGAAGAGGAATGTTCCCGGCGATCTGGATCGTATCCACGCGAAAGGACACCACGTCCTCCGGTATAACCGTCCGATTTTTCTTGCGCGTGTCCGCTGCTCGGCCAGGTAATTGGCCGTCCATCCGGAACCATCGGAGCGTCGTCGCGAGACGGACTTAGGATCGGCAGAAGTCGAACCGCGCCGCGTCCATAAATCAATTAATTTTAGCCAGTTCGATATGCCAGGCTGGCTTCATTTAAATTCTTTCGGAAGCCTTTGCAGTCGCTGGTGAGCGCCGGTTAAATACAGCGCTGGCTAAAACTAGAGATGGGATCAAATCCGATATACGCTTATGTATGTATTATGTTCTGGTTAAATTCGACGGTACAAACTTCGTTTCACGTTTCAGTTTCGAATGCTCGTTGAAAGTGAAAATTTGCAGGGTGAGCGTAATTTTACAAAATTAAATTGCAATAGAACAGACAAGTGTTGAATAGAGGGAATGTTCAATAAAAAAGTTTTATTTATACGCATGTAATTAATTTTAATATCGACATAACGTTGTACGATTACACGATTTCAACATCAATAATGTAACGTTCGCGACAAGCTTGTTCTCTCTAAACTGAGTTTAAATATACAAGAAATTTTTTATATTCTAGACAAATACAAATATATTCTAGAAATCCGGATATTCGGATCTATAAATGGAAATGAGTATCCGAGTACTTGGATACATTCGAGCGATCATCGAATCTTTATCGAGTATGTATACGAATACTCGAGATTGAATACCAAATACAATGGAGAAGTATATTCATACTTTTTTTTTTACACGATTTTCAAATGTATTTGCAAAGAAAATCTCTGTAATGTTCGGAGATTCTTTGAAATAAAAGATGATAAGCGTACGTTTAAACTCTCTATAACAGTGGGTAATTTGAAAGTTACATATATAGTTTATATATACATAGTACAGCTCGTTTATATAAAGTTTGTTTATTTTAATCAATATCCGATTAAATGAACCATTGTTGTTTGAATCAATTTATTCGAACGTCTGTTACACCAATGAAAAATCATTAACGAAGAGGGGACTATATATAAATTATACGTATAAGCGAAGTTTTACTATACTTCAGTACGATTTATTAGTCGTCGGATTTTCAATTGGAGTGAACTGAAAGCTACAATTAACTCTTTGTAACCAGAATTTCGTAGGAGGTGAATGTTATCAGTTGATCGTAGCTATCTATTCGCGCAATGGAGAAAGCATGCTTCACGCACAGTCGAGACATTAACATTTATAGAAAATTTCAGTCTTCAAAAGCTCGGGAGCTGCTGAGTCGATGCTGATCGTCTACTTAATTCTCACAAATATCAAATGAAACTATCCCGCTTGGGCTGAGAGAGTACAAGTGCCATTTTGGTACTTTCTAAATGGTTACGAATTTGCTTGTGAGGTGCTCGATCCCATCTCTAGCCAAAACTGCGCCGTCCACCGACGTCGAACGACGCCGGTCAGAAGACCTTGGTGGGGGTTGATTGGTGACTTACGACCAGTGAGAAAGACGAAGAGAACTTTACAGAATGAAAGACAGAAAGAGAGAGGGAGAGAGAGAGAAGCAGTGAGGAGAGCAGACGCCACCTTAAGTATTTCTGATCGAATTCCAAATGGCTGGTTCGTCGTCCGGTCGGACGGTCGGTAAGAATTCAAACCATGACGAGCAAATGGACAAGAGCGTGCGTCGTTTCGATCGTGAAACACAGGCGCACACGCAGAGGGGGTACACACGAGGGAGGACCACGGCTTCTGGCTGCGCGAGGGACAGAGAAAGACACAGGGACAGGCAAAATAAGCAACGGTGAAAATCGCCGCGCAAAAAGCCGACCGTCATCCGCGCGCATAAGCTTCCTCGGGGCTAATCAGTTCGCGGGTCGATCGATGAACTCTCTCTCTTCTGTCGGTACACACGCCTTTTTCCTCCTTCTTCTTTTTTCTTTTCCTTTCTTGTTTTCTTCCGTTGCTTTTCTCGACTCTCGATCGTTGATAGCTTCGTGGTCGGTGGTACACGTCGCCGATAGTTCTTACGTAATTTTACTAGCTCAGTCCTTCGGCAAAGATCAAAGACACACACACACACACACACACGCGCGGTTGATAGGATTATTTATAGGCGTTTCGTTGGACGCATTAATTCATCGTAATGCAACGCTCTTTTGAGATTCTTTGAGAAAGGATCGAGGAATCGGATGGTTGATCCGGCTATCTAGCGGAAGAGGCATCGGCACTTCGCGATCCGGTCGAACGAAATGCGTTTCTTTGGACCAGGAGAGTAGATTGCCAAGTGAATATATCTTTGAAAGATATTCCTATCTTTTATTGATAGCGAGGGGAAAGCCTTTTGATTCTTCCGTCAGGCGTTTCCTTTTTTTTCTTTTCTTTTCTTCTTTTTGGTCTAGATAAGCAGAACTTCTTGCAAGTAGACTGCGGATATTTATGTAAATTGTAATTCTTCACGAGTGGAAGGAATAGAATAGAATTGGAACAGTGTTTGTTTCACTTGCTGAATATTGTAACTTATTTTATGTAAGGTTTATGTATTATGTGCATTTTATGTATTTTTGGAGTATGTATGTATTCTTCAAATCCGTAAAAATCCGCAATTTACTTTTGTAAGGGAAGGAAATTATTACTTAATTATTTAAGTATTATTTTTGTAATACAATATTGTAACACAGGAATAAAATAATGAAGCAGCAAGCTTCAGAAATAAAATTTTCAAAATGTGAATATATAATATGGAGGGTTAACTGATATATATACACGTACATAGAGGATTAATTGAAGTTAATTATTATTCGTCCTAAATTTTCGCACATTTTTCATATTATCATAGATTGACAGACGTGCGCTATCTCAGAAATTACTTGTTAGCTTAATTTGAAAATTTCTTACGACTCGTCACAAGCCGTCAATTGATACCAAATTTGAGTTCCAAACTCGAGAGATTAAAAACAAATAATTACATATTTTGAGACACTCTTTTCTCAGACGCGAAGCAAATAGCATTTTCCCTCGGATAGATGGAAACACGAGCTCCCAGTTCGAATATTAATGACGGCCATAGGTCTCCTCGGATCGCAGCTAGGGTGACAAGGGATGCAGCGTCTGTTCTTCCATTTGGAAGATCAATTTTGCATAGGTCGTAAAGGGTAGGAAATTGCTTTTCATGAGAATGTAACGGGGATCGTATATCAAGCAAAACTCTCGGCTTCGTCGAACCTTGTTTCTCACTGTCAGCAACGATTCGTTCGTTGAACGTCACTGAATAGTCAATTCCTTGACACGATATCAAATTTCGTTTAAAAAGCTAGGCATCTGTATTTCACGTGTAATTAATTGGTATCATTGTTTCGTAGTGTAATTTCAGTTGTACACGTATAATAATGGCATACTGAGAAACTACAATACATTTCATTGTCGTGGATGTTGTATTTATTTCCCTTCTCATTTACACATACATATAGCCTTCTCCGTATCTGAGGTCCATTTTCTGTTTATAAAGTTGAAATTGTCTTCACAAAGATTGTTATTTTTATTGTGCACTTTTGATCAAATCATGATATTCAAGTTAAATATATTTATATTAAATTCAAATCCAATCCTTGGTCTTTGTACTATATGTAAAAAAAAAGAAATACTCCAAAATTAGTAGTTATCTCTTACGTTGTACACAACAAATATAATATAACATCAACGACATTTAAAAAGAGAAGAGATTCGTTTTATTTATATATTTTATAATAATAATATTAACCATTGTTACAAGTACCCTCCATTACATATTACATGCAAGTAGCTGATCGTAAATAGTTTCCATGAAAATTTTTAGATACTATAATATTTTGTATCATATTAGGAATCCAACAACAATAATATTTCACAATTATATCAAGTATTTCATGTTGGGTTGCGTTCGCTCAGCGAGGCCTGGAAATACAAATTCTTAATTCTTAATATTTCTCTGCGTGCGCGTGTGCCTTTTGTTACCAAAGATTTGCTACGAAAATTATGGGCCGTGGTGTAAAACGTTGGTGGCCGAACGGAGGAGCAAACGGTTGAACGCCATTTTGTGTCTCATCGGCTTGTAACGGCCGGCACAAAGCGCATCGCGTGCAAGCTAATGAGAGTAATCACTTAATAAAGGCGGCCGGGCATCGCGTGACGCTCTACACGCGCATAACCGAGAATCAATATTTGATTTTCAGGTTTCTCTCCTCGCGTCGTTCGCCTTTTTCTTCCATCCGGTGAACAACACGCGAAAACAGGCCGATACTTCTTCCCGTTCTTCTTTTTCTTTCGCTCTTTCTTTCTTTCCTTCTTTCTCCTTTCTCTCGAATAGACACCACTTTACGAGAAATAACACGCATTTTACTGCTCGCCTGAGAAATTGATCGTTCCTTCTCTGTTTCAGACAGCCGCCATCGTCTGATGAATGCATCGACGGGTTTGGTCACGCTCATCCCGCTAGTTTCCATCGAACACCGACTAATGGAGACCCTTGTCAGCCAATTCGTCAGAATTCGTGAGTTTATG